GTTCTCTCTGATAGAAAATGCTAAATGTGACAAAACTATTCTAAGGTGGGATTGTGAATATTGATCGCAAAGCCTTAGCCAAAATGAGTTTGTGTGAAGTAAATAACTCAACACAAAAAGAATAAAAAAAAAACATTGATAAAACTATATTGATTTTTTATCTTTTATTTGAAAAGCAGAACATGAGTGAAGGTGCACCAAATCTTAGCTTAGGATGACAAGGACTGGAGAGAAAAAAAAACAAACTGCACAACCAACTTTGCTATACCTATCGATCAGCTTGAGGAGGACAAACAAGGACCCAAACAAAAAAGCTAAAGTCTCCAATCTCTCAGTATCATTATGTTCAAGGCCTTGGGAAAAGCCTACAGGTCAATACTTGTGCAGCAGAGGCTCCGTGGGGTAGGACTGGCGACTTAATAAAGCAGACGTATTGTGTGTGAGCAGACGGGTCGATGTGACTCCCTCCAGATGCAATGCATTTTCACAGTGGGACAGGTTGCTGCACTACGCAGAGTGGGCCTGGAGCAGAGGTCAAACTATTCGCTTCATCAGCAGCCGAAACCAAAGAACAGTGGGAGAGGCAGAGTGAACACAGCGAAAGAACATATTATCAACCCAGGGGGACTCAGCTCAGAGATATCAAGGAGAGCTTTGGTTTTTGGGCGGATTTATATGCAGTTGAATATGCAGAGTAGACGACACGAGTAAAAGAACTTCAGCCATTACAGAAACACACACACACACACACACACAGACACACACACACACACACTTACCTTTTCATAGTAGCGTAGCTCGTAGTCGAGGATGATGCCATTTGGCTGTTCTGGTTGAGGCCATGAGAGTGTGAAGCTATTCATGGTGGAGCTGATTTGGTGCATGATGGGAACTATTGAAGGAGCTGGAGGAGACAGAACGAGTAACACAAAATTAGTGCATTTCTATAATAACCGGCTTTAATTACACATGTTTCTCGCCCACAAGTGTTTGTTGGTTGTAGGTGGTTATTCAAAAATACTCAAATTCAAGATAATTAAACAGATTGGTGAGCAAGGGTAGCCTGACTAAACAGCTGAATTGCTCAGTTCTGTGCATGTTTGTCTGTCCTCAAGGCTCAATTTCATGAAACCTGGAGGTGAAGTTAGAAAATGTGGCTTCAAATGCAGAGCGCTTTCTCTAAAGTTAGGGGATTTGCTTTAGTCCATTTAGTTCAATAATTCAATCCAAATACTTTCAAACATGATGGTCTATGTTTTAAAAAATAGTGCACTTTTGAATTCTGTACATGTGCAAATAAAACATCACGCTGCTGCACAAATACAAACTGAACTATTTCACCATCAGTATGCTTCTCAGAGTCCGAGCGGCTTAAACAGTGCAACTGCCTCTCTCATTAGTAAGCAGGTAAGCAGCTGAGTTAGAGCGATTAGGCCTGCTCTCTGCCATATTCTGGCACCGCAGGACCAAATATAAACTGGCTTTAGCCAAAACAGATCTGCCAATTTTGGCCGAGATTTGTGGGCGTGGACTTGGGCCGAGCGAGCAGGACTCTGGCTACCAGAATGGTCCATCACCACGAGCCTGGCAAGTGTCCCGCTACCATTGTGTTAGATTTTGTCCGCTGATGGGCAGAGAATTCAGGAGCATGAGTGTAGCCTCTACAGGATGCACTGGATCAGTTCTCCCTTTTCTTTCACGACTACTCATTCACACAGTTGTGTTAACTTAGACTTAAAAACTTAAATATCAACTTGTTTTCATTTCTGTCATTATTAAATTTCATAAACATTTTTTTTTCTTGAAAATTCAGTGAGAGTATAGGTAGTGAAACTAAATAAAACAGACACTGAGTGTCTTTGCTACCTTTGGGTTATAAAAAAATGAAAATATTGCACATTTTTATACTGATCAATCTCATGTTCTGTAAAAATAATTTTATATTAATTCACAATTTGCATCACAAGTTATTGTGTGGACTGCCGAGGCGTATTACAACGATAACACTGTAAATACACGTTATTACTTTTGCCTTTAAAGAAAAAAGCACTTAAGGCTTAAAATCATTAAACTGATGAGACAAAATTATCATACTTGGCCACTTATTCATTCAGGAAATTGAACCATTATTATAAATGAGTGAGTCAGTACGTGACCCCACAGCAGTGAATTTAAAGTCAGATGTTTTCATTCAGTCAGGTTTGAGTAAAAAACATTGACTGATCAAAATCTGGTCATTACAAAACCATCAGCTTCGAGGGAAATTGTGCATTTTCTGCATAAGCAGCTGTTACGTCCAAAATAATACATACTGAAAATAGACCCAGTAGAAATCACTTTGCATTTTATATTATTCATTTAATCAGTTTTTGTGTTATTAAGGAAAAAGTCTTGGGACCATTTATGAGTTTTCTCTTTTTCATTTAGTTGAATTATATACAAATAGATTGTGTTTGTTTGATTTCTTGTACACTTGCTTGTTGCATTTGAAAAGGTGAGTCCTGCAAAACCCTTACTGGCTTCTTTCCTATCATGCATAACAGTATTTGTATCTTCTGCTCAACTGTGTAAATAAATACGAAACTTGTGCATTTCATATTATGATTAATAAATGCAGACATCTTGGTAATTCCAAAAGATTTGGGGTTTTTTGTTGTTTTTTTCACTTGCAACAGTATACTCTATTATTAGCGATATCAGTATCAGTGATGTCCTAGTGAACCAAATTATAGAGCAGAAAGGGAAAAAAAGCAAGCTTTGCACCCAGCCAGTATATTCAAGACGGAGTCAATACAAACAATGCCCCTGTTTGCATATGAACTGCATCTTTTTCATGTAATGAAACCCTTTAAAATCAAATCACTATAGTACCGTGATTGTTTTGACCCAGCTCCACCGTATATTCCATCCTTCAGCCCAAGTACACCTGAACGCACACACACGGGCTGTCAATTAACCCCGACAGTAAGCAATTTCCTGCTCATCTCATATTTTTTTGCCCTCTGCAACTGTCATACCGCTATCATCTGTGCTCCTCTTCATGCTTCACATGTTGCTCGGAGATTGTATTATAAATAAAACTTGTTAAAACTTGCGCTGTGTGTGCATGCCGATGTGCCTGCGCTTATGTTTGCGTGCTGTGTTATATCTTTGAATTTAAGTTAGATGAAAGTCTAAGAAGACATTTTTTAAAATTCAAGATAAGACCTCTGTGTGAACCAGAGCGGGATCTGATCAGCTGCAAGCATGTTTTTAATCTATATGGACTACAAGTGTGAAGTAAAATGAATTGAACTGAAATTAAATTGAATCCTATTTTTACCGTTTAAAATAAAAAAGATGTCGCATGCTGATGCGGTGTCCCTCAGGCTGTCTTACTGCTTAGTATTACTTCTTTTACTATTTTTGTCACTGCTGTTATTTAGCGAATCTGTGTCGCGTTGTTGCTGAATGCAGTATCTAAGCTACTTTGACAATGATTTTTCTTACTCCCGTTTGTAGTATTAAAGTATGTAATCCCATTAAGACTTTAAATATCACAAACAGTGTCACATTGACTGTAAGTTTTGGGGGTTTTCTTTCTTTTGGTCCACATGGGACCCATTTTGCCTTCCTCTGGCTGGAGCTTACACTCCAAAGGTCTGGAATTCTGTGTGGGGAAAAAAAACAAACGAGCCCAGAGCAAAATGAAATACTACTTCAGGTTTCAAGAAAGACAGGACAGAAGAGTCTCATTGTGCTTCTGTCTGGTAACAGATGGAAAGAATAGCTCAAAGAATCAAGCCAAAGGCTACCACAATGTCTTTTCATGCCAGATATGTCTGATTTAGACTTCTGCGGGAAACCTACGTCGTAAGCAGAAACCCTTTTTAACACTAACCTTCCACATAACCTGACACGCACCTCTCGAGAAATGTAACTACACGTCAGGTCGATGTGACCTGTAACTATTGTAATTGGCCAGTGTAGCGCCATTGAATCCTCCTATTAAGACCGGATACCCAGAGGGGGAAAAAATGTCCCAACATTTCGTGTTTTTTCTATACGCTTCCAGCACGGTGATTAATGTGTAACCATACACACGCATAAATGTAGCCAACCATGTCTGCCATAATGTAAGTTAAGTCATAGGCTCTATAAAGGCTCCACACAGAAGTCTGAATCAGAAATTAGGGGAGGATTAAAAGAAAACGGTAAAGATTTGATTACTTGTGCTGTAATGGGACAGATCAGTCATGTGGCAATGGAGCTGCTGATAGGCTATTACCTGTGACACGATCAATCAGAGCTGTGCTTGGACACCGAGGCCACAAAGTTTAATATTTCAATTTGTAACATGCGGAGAATTTTAATATAATAACATATGTAATAATCACATTTTGTTTCAGCTGGATTTGGCATCAAAGCAGCAATAAGAAGCCAAGCCCTCTTTATTTAGCTGTCTTTGTGCTGCAGAGAGTGCAGCAAGGACTACGGCACAAATCACAAGGCTGCAGTAACTGAAGCCTGTGCTGCAAAGTGAAACAGTGAGCATATGCTGCATTTTACTTTGCACATCCATATATCACATTGTAGATACTGTAAATCTGTTTAAGCTGTATAGTTGTGTTCATTTGCACAGAAATAACACAAAAGATCAGAAAGTTAAGACACAATTTAAAACTTTATTTTGACCAAACATGTAGTTGCTCTTTCACAACTTTGGAGCTGCTGAGCGTCAGACTCTTAATAAATAATGCACCAGGATGTGTTTTCTTATTTCTGTAAAATGCATCAATCTGTGATCCAGGAGGAAACTTTTCTTTTTAAACAAAAGCAGCACAAATTATTCAATAAAAAATTAGACTGCTTAGCTTTAATGCACAAATCAGTTTCTGGAATGACATACATAAATAAGCCCCAGATTTAACTCCATCATCATAAAGTAATTCAAGCTGCTATAATGGACTCTAATTAAAAGTTAAAGGATGAATTAAACCAGAGTTACTCATCAAACCAATTTATGAAGACACAAGCGACTTTGATTATAAAATATATTCTGCCTACTGCTCATGTAAGTTCAAAGCCTTGGTGTTTCATATAGTCCTGGAAAGAAATCCTCACCCCCATGTTTGCAGGCATAAATACAGCCCCACACAAGCCCATGCTCTACATTGTGCACCTATCAGCCACTTGGCTCTTGGCCTGCTCGCTGAGGCCTAGTCATCACTCCACCTGGTCTCCACTCACATCTTGCTGAATAACTCCTCTGTTCAAAAGGCAGCAAATGGCACCCTCTCTCAACTAAGTCATCTTTTTATCACAGTCCTTGGTGATTATTCCATTTCTTTTGCTTCTCTGTGTACTTCACTCTTGCATAAGCATTCAAGTTATAGTAGGGAAAAAACCCTCTGACCTTTTTACATGTGTTTGCACGTAAATCCTGTTTTCTAAGAAAACCAAGGTTATTCGACAGCTTCGACAGCGTCGACTGGGGTTAGTATTTCTTGATGTGAATGTCAGATAATTTTGTAAAATGTAAATGTTGAACAAATGAATAGGCTCTGTTTATCCTGTCAGTGTGAATGGATTTTGTTCCGTCTGCCTTTCTTGGCTCTCACCTCCTGCCCCCACCTTTCCTGCTCCTATACCCTAGACAGAGAGTGTAAGGGCTAAGCTTCACCTCAGTGCACTTCAGCCTCTCTGCTTCTCAGGCTAGTTCACGCTCCACTGACCAGGGCTAGGGCTGCCTGGGCCGCATTATCAATTACCGGCCACAGGCACACACTGTTCCTGACAGACCCCAGGGAGGGGCACTCCACGCAGAAATTACTGCAGCAAAAAAAGAGAAGAAAAAAAAGAAGAAGAGGGGAGCCCTGAGTCCTTGTCCCAACCAAATTCATACAGAAAAACAATGAAATTGTT